ACAGAATATACCAGAGATATAACGTATTATCACTTCTATCGGTAGGAGAAGCAGACGATGAAAGCCCGTACAGGAATGTTGGTGTCCCTTCACTAAAGAAGTGAGGGTCAAACTTTTAAAATGTCATAAACCTTCAGGCAACTCTCACGAAACGTTCCCCTAGCATATTCTTTCTCCTTTCTCCAGACATCTATCTTATCATAGCTTTGTTCCCAACTGGAATATAGCCATAATTTCAATCTGGGTGCAATACGATACCCAAACCCAATCTTAGCCACTGTAACTTTAAGAGAATCGCGAAAGACATTATGCTCTTCATTAGAATCAAGAGGTTTTTACATTAGCACATATCTGGGGAGATACTGATTGTACGTAAAAATCTGTTAAACGAAAATATGTTAATCTACAAAGGGTAATTAGCATACTACTTAAAGCACAGAAGTTACAGACGATCAAAGAACATACAAAGTATGATGTACCAAAACATCTACATCTTTCTCATCATACAGACCTTCATCTCCGCAAAGTCTGGTTTGCCGAAAAGCTTCCGATTCGCCAAATATGGTAAAGAAAGGTGATCCACCAGTTCACCGTGTTCGTCGATCAACGCGCACAGAACAGGATGGTCCCTGAAAACCAAATCACTATAGCATGCAGATACACCCCTATGATTGCACAGGAGTACATTTCCTTTGCATACGCAATACCAAGTACGCGAGCGCGCTTCGTATCGTCCTTAGCCTTTTTGCCAGTGTCCAGCTCATTTTGGACAATAAAAGGACCAATCTTCAGCCAGTTGTACATTTTCAACGAACACTCCTGAAATACATTCAAAACGTGAATCGATAAAAATGGCCCTGATGATTATCCATCCCCACATACCATGTGTTATTACATGATTGTTGTGCGGAGTGCACAACAACCAGAGTACAGAATTATAACAACGTGAAATACAGCGGATTATATTCCTGAAGGTTCTACCTTATCCGCAAGACTTGTGATGCGACTAACCGTTGCATAAGGAACTGTCAGCTTTGCTCCTTTCAGACAAGTCTATTAATGATATGGATATTCCAAATACTTATGCAAAAAAACTGACAGGTAATTTATGCACTCAACCATGCTAGGGACGTTGTGCTTCATGCTGCTTACTGTCTTAACAACATATTACGTTTTATCGAAATTTCTGAAAGTTTAAAATTAAGAATTTCGCTTTTGGAACAATTTTTTTATAAACCTTGTTCAAATTAATATTTAAATAATTTGAAGACTGTTTTAAGTACTAGATTAGCATGTTAAAGAGCGGAGTAAAACAGGGGACTAGTTGAACTCTTCTACTACATACCGACATCCTACAAACGTTTATCAAGCCAGTTTATCAGCTTTTCGATCGAAAATATCGTTCCTGCCTTGAAGGTTAAGCAGTTGCATACATAAGATGTTACACTTCAAACAGCAGTAACTCTTATTCGCCATAATCAAATTTCTACAACTGGTTCATCTATGCCTAACCCAAGGCAGAAGGTTTTATTTGTTTATCGTTTTCTCTTTGTCCCACGCCGAACATCAACATTTACTGGTCGAAATTTCGAATTTTTTGTCTGCTTTAATTAAACAGTTTTCTACAAAAACCACAGAAAGAACCCATTTAAATAAAAAACAATCGGGTATTTAGAGCCATATTTACCATTTCATTATTAAAAACGTTCGCTGTAAGA